TTATCAGAAGTGAAAGTCCAAACGCTGATTACAACGTTTGAAAACGCAATAAAAAAACAATGAAGCTCCTGTAATTCTGTTTGTAAATTGGCATTCTCGCGGAAAAAGAGTTGCGCTATTAAAATTTTCTATGCCGAGCAAGTTTGATTCTTATTTGTTATCGCTTATCTCGTGCGTCTGAATTAGCATAATTGTTTCGTTGGTGAGAGTTTATTTGATTAATAAGTGACTATTATTCGTGTTATAGATCGATGCGGTTAATAATTCATGAACGCTACGCGACGCAACGCTGGGAGAAATCTGTAACAGGAAGTTGGCGGAAACGCTTATTATCGCGGGATACATATTGTTACTTTTCTATGGCTCACGTGTATATGTGCGGTACATTGTTGCCTAGTGTACAGGAAAACGTGCTTTGGGATAAATGCTAATTGTTTATGCATCGTGTGTTTTCCATGCACAAAGCGTTGTAGACCATAAGATGTTTAACGTTATAGAACAACAAAAAATTTAATGATGCAGGAAATGCTTTTTTTGTTGGTTTCCGATAGAAACTGTAAACGAGTATAACACTTTGAAAGCAAAAGTAATCTGGACAGAAAGTTTTAATCACCAACGTACTTAAGGTTGCTTTCTAACTTGGAAAAAAAATCTATTTCAACACTTGCGTCGATTTGGGTCGGCTCATGAATACAGATTTTTACCCAAATTTTGAGCCATCTTAGCGTAAATCTACTCAAGTTATGGATAATAACGGTTTTTTCCTTAGCAATGTTTAAGCCTACTGATATTGATAGCGATAAGACGTAACATTGACAATTAATATTCTAGGAGAGGTACCTAAAACACGTAAAAAAAATTATTTATCCTATTTGTGATACATAACATTCTTTGCCTTATACAAATTGTTACAAGTAGACCATCGATAAGAGACAATTTTTTAAATCACAATTACAATGTTCTTAGAAATACCAACACTCTTCTTAAGTTAAGAAAGAAATTTCTTGTTTTAAGTATGATATTTCTTAAAATTAGCGAGAGCTATGACAAGAACAACGTATTGTTTAACTTTAGACGATGTCGTTCTTATAAAACAAAACTACATGGATAAAATAAACTCGCTAATTAAGAAAATATCGTCTCATTTAAAAACCTTCCATTTGTTATGCTTGCAATATTTTTCAAAAGCCAACTTTTGCCTTGCAGAAATTTCGAAAGCCAATCTTTAGTCATTCAGGATAAGCAATTAGAAAAACAAAATAATCATCAGCCCAGTTCCAATTAACCGACGTCATCGGTTTTGTTTACTCGTCCACGTGGTATCGCTATTTGTCAAACGAAATGTCGTCGCTTCAGCTGCCCATCGTCGTCGTATCCTGCATTCATCAGCCTCGTCTCTTCTTTCTGCCAAGAGAAAAAGAAACGGAGTCTGGCGGCCAGTTTGGAATTTGCGCGACGACGACTAGACTTATAAGCTTTCCCCGTTATACATTTCGCGACAGGGCTTCTATTAATAAATCGCACGGCCGTCTATTTACCCGACACGATCCCCTTGAAAATGTGGTTTTTTGTAGTTGCTCTGCTCGCTTGTTCTAGTTGTCTCCGCACGCGAACTTGCAAAAAGCGAAGGGTTTTGATGCTTCATTTCACGGCATACCGCGGCAATTTTCTCGGAATCGGTTTGATGCAAGAATTTTTTACATCTTTTGTTTCGAAAATAATTTATTGAAAGTTGTTAAAAGAACTGGAGAATATCCTGGCTAGTTTAGCTAATTATTATAAATTAATCTGTTGAATCCTTCTACAATGAAATAAAAGTTCAGTACGTGTGGAAGATATGTTATAAAATATAATGAATGTAACGGTAAAATTTGGAATTAAGGTGCTTTCACGTTAAATCACACTGCTAGCAGTTTTGGCGCGTTACACATACAAGCAAATTACTGCGGTAAGAGAAGGACAACAAACAAAAAGGCCAAAGTATACGCGTTACCGTATACCCGTGCAATGATTTAATTTCAACTTGCTGTATTACGTCTTTCCTCGATTTATTCTCAACTCTAAAAATTTTCAGTTTATTTCCACGTTAGCGCCTCAGACTATATTTTTATGCATTTTTTAGACTGCCTGTTTACACCGATGCATCGGAGACGTTTGCTAGCAAAAGAAACAAAAAAAAAAATGAGAGAAAAAGAGGCGCACGCGCGCGAGATTAAAGTAGGCCGAAAGCCAGGTTTTAATCGAGAATGCGCATGTTCCGCTTATCACATCGTGATATCGAGTTTGACGAGTTTCATGCTATACGCTTATCGATAATGAGCTCTGCCGTATGGCTTTAAACCCCATTGATTAATGTCCAAGATGAATTTCTTTCTTTTCAGCCTTTCTCTGCCAATTTGTGATTCGCATGTATCTTATTTTGTGTACGATATATTAATCGAAAACACTGATTAGTTTTCAGTTCTCTTGTGTGTTAGTTGGTGATCGAGATATCTCGGGTCTGGCTAATTACGTGAAATGATGCTGTACTTATAAGTGGGACTGACGGAAAGTTATGGATTGAGGAAAGTCTCGATCCAATTTTTGTAAAAATTAAATTTTTTCAAATCGACGGTAAACTTAGTAATAATTGATTTCGAGCAATATACCATTTGTATGTCAATAGAAGCGTCGCTATATAGATTGACTACGAATATCGATTCAAGCGTTGAAATTTCACAAGCTGATCTTTCTATCTCTTAGAAAATGACATGGTTTTCGATATTTTTTGCAATAACTTGTAAGTAATATTCAACTAATTAAAAAAAGTGAGACTAGTAATGAAAACTAAAGAAAACTCCAATACTCAATCTGATAACGTATTCCTTCTACCATGGTAAAGCACAACTCCTTCAAGGCCGATCGATTTTCTCGCCTATGCTGTTGAACGAATTATTCCGTACACACGTGTAGTGGCACGTGTCCCTTTTCTATTAATTCTCAATTTAGGGATTTGTATGATTTCAGCATGTGTTTTTTGCAGATCACACGCTAAGAATAGCTTGCGCAATTATTGTGCGAATGCATGAACGTGCATCTATTAATTTTTTCATTTGCCACGTAATTCAGAACGTTTGTAGGTGACAGTCCTAGCGGGATGGAACTGCTGATCCTTATTTCGTTTCGGACAACTATGAAACGAGATTGCCGAAAGCTCAAAAGATAATTATTTTCAAAATCACACTGTTCATTGATCGTTAAAAAAATACAGCCTCATAATTATCGCTTCTGAAATCCAACTTTGTAGGTAAAATCATCTAGTTTTTAAAACAATTTTTCATACTGAAATATCAATTATCATACATGACAACTTGGAAAAAATGTATCGCTGCATTTTTTTGCATTGTTCACTTGTACTCACTTCTCTCTACGCGCTTACGTACGCGAAAGAAGCGCAAGTTTTCTTAAATGTATGCGCATGTTTTGCTTGCGGAAGCGCCGTCAAGTGCATATGCCAACTTTGAGGAAGAATTATGAATGTATGTGCCTGGTTCATTGCATTGGAAGTCGTGCGCACGTAACAATATTTGCTAAAATAATGAATAACTGATCCATCTCCGCCGTTAATAAAAGTAAAAGCCGAGTGGAAAAAAGAGCCAATGTGCTTTTATCGCATATCTTTGGTCTACTTTTTACGGTCGAATTCGGAATGGCACTATTCGTTTTCACTCGCACATTCATACATATCTCTTATCAAAATCGTGAATTCATTATGAATCTTCCCACGCAACCAAACAACTAATTTGGAGCAAACGGAAGAGTTCAGAAAATCGGCTATGTTTGAACAAACAGATAATTTATTCGTTTCCTGTGACGGCTTTTGTTAAAAAAAAAACCAGAATCGCTTGCGCGAATAGTTCAATCAAATTCACAATGGGTATAAAGCGAATGAGGAAAGGTGCTAGGAAAATAAAGAAAGAGAAAGCGCGTCGCTATCTTGTCGGTTCAAAAAGCAAGAGTATCGATAAAAGGTGTATTGTGCGAAAAAATAACAACAAAACGTGAAAATGGGATACAATAGTTACGTTCTGTCGTAAAGATCGCTATCTACGCTTGATGAAATTGAAATGGTATAGCCTATTTTTTTAATGAGCGTTAGCGTGAACGGATAATTTTTTTTTCGCGAGAACTTCTTAACGATTTTTCTTCGTTTTCTCAAAGTTTTAGTCTATGGGATAATTTTTAACGCTATTTCTATATTTAGATGTATCTTGTAAGTATACGTACGAATAATTATCTTACATAATGTATTTTTGCCAAGCAGAAAATTAACTTGATCTATGTATCTACTTTAAGAGGATCGTAAAAAGCCGAAAAGTACGTTTTTGATGTTGTTTAACTGATTACTGAAATACGCAAAAGTCATACCTGGTATGCATAAACAAAATACTCCACGATGTCAAACTCGTAACTAAAAAAATTACACCTGGCTCATCCATCACTGAGCCACAAAAACAGTCAGTGTACATCCGAAACAAAAAAACATAAGTGACTGGAATATACAATCTTATGACAAAAACACGAAAGAAAAGAACGAAGAAAAAACCAGTAATAAAAATTAAATGTTCTCCTACAACGTGGCTTTTATGCATATTATTGACGCTTTAACGCGCGCCGCACGCGCGCGTGCAGTTGTGGCATAGTAGCAACAATGAGGAAACGGCAATAAAAACAATGAAGGCGGTCGGCCCGCGTGCGAATCGATCTCATCTGTGTCGCGCGCGGAATCGATGCCGCGTGACAAGATAAAAGATTATTGTGTTATAAATCGCTGACGCAAGCGAACCGTTCGCTTTTCTACACATCTTGAATGCGTCCACACCTGTTGACAAGCATGTAAGCTATACACGCGCGCATCGCTCCCCCTTTTCTTAGCCGCTGACTTATTTTCCGGTGTGCGTTTCTTTCGTGCGGTAACCGAAACGTTTTTCTTTCTTCTGCTTAATTTTAATGATATTTACCTTGTGACTCCACTTCTTGTGCATGTAACAAATGCTTCCCAGATTGGAAACTTATTCTTAAATTTACAATCCACACCGAAAACTCACAAAAACCAGACACCAAGGCGAAGAAAACTTCACTCAAAAAAACTCAAATTTATTTTTCTCGACTGCCAGGTCCAAGACGTTTCGCTGACGTTGATGATTGTTTCGCCGAAACAACACAACACGACACCATCGTGCACCTTCGAATCCATTTTCGTACATTTTTTCTTTCGTTCCTTCCTTTCCCACGCGCCTCTGACTATTTGCTGCGATCGGCTGTAATTTTTCTGCACGCGTAAACAAACAACCGTCTTATAAGCCCATTGTCTTTCTCTGTCTCTCTCTCTCTCTTTCTCGAGTTTTGTTGTCTGACTAATGACTATTAACGCCGTATGCCGACTGATTCACTCGCAGGCAGGCTTGAACGTCTTCTTTCGAATTGTGTTCTCTTTCACACATATACGCACATATATGCAACACTATTCGCCGGTCGCTTCATGTATTGTTCCTTGCTCTTCGGTTTGTTGTTTTTATTTTATTCCTTTCGCGATAAATGTTAATGGATGTATCTCCTTTTTCCCGTAAAAGAAAGGAGAAACAGCACTGAAATTCGCCAACCACAAACACTTGAGCCTTGCACTTGGTACACTCGTACGCGGGAAATTCAAAACATCACAATACTTGAGCGCGCTTGTGAGACTCTTTTTTCCCTTTTGTTTTCCCTCTGTGAAAGGAGATAAAAACAAAGGTATAAGCAGCTGGAGAGAGCTTGTTGATGGTGTATGTAGCCAGCACAGCTCCAACGCGCGTGCGACGAGCGAGTCTGACTAGCGCGAAACGAAACACACTAGCTGCCTTGCGACGACGAAGGAGCGCGCGGCGCGGTGGCGGCGGTGGCAGCAGCACAGCGGAGCACAGAGCGCGGCCCCCACGTTGTTTGTCTCGCGAGTGGCCTGTTTACATGTTGACTCTGTTTACGCGTTTTCTGCTGCCTGCGCCTTCGTCTCCCCTCCTCCTACACATGCTCGTGCCACACGCTTCCCGCTTCAGCGTGAGCAGTTGTGTTCTCTCTGTTCTGCTCTGTTCTTCTCCCCTCCCTTCTCTTCTCTCTCTCTCGCTCTCTCTCTCTCACTCTCTCTCTCTCTCCCTCTCACTCTCTCTCTCTCTCTCTCTCTGTTAACATTCGAGTCCGATGTGTATAGTCTTTCTGCTGTTGCACGTTCTATACTCGCGTGTGCACACATGTGCTCTCTCCTCTCTCTCTCTCTCGCTGTGTCGCTTTCGAGGTGTTGTGCCCGTGCGAGTTGCACTTTTCTTTTTTTTTTTTTTCGTTATTATTCTTTTCTTTGATCTGCTGTGCATGTCTGCAGCCTCGTCTTTTTTCTATGCCTCGGACAGTTTTGTTATTTGACGGATGCATTAATGTCAGCTGCTGTATAAGAGCTTTTGACACTGACGACTGTATATGCGAATTCCTACTGTTTCGATTTTTCCTCTCCGGAGCGTGCGGTACGGCATGCTTGTTTTTTAGATTGTGAGTTAAGCAGGATGTATTACAACTTATTTCACATACACATGTTGGTTTGATGGATTTGACTTTTGATATACGATCGATAACGCATTTAATGTACTCGCAAAAACGCTTCTTACGTAAACGCAAATATAGACGCAGGCACAGCAATATACGCAGAAGCTGAACATTAAGACTGCACAAAGATTTTTATTTTATTCAAGCTACTTCCGCCTTTCTTCACTCCCTTTAAGTAGGCGAGCTTCATCTGAACATATGGCGAGTTTCCGAAGCTAAGCGTACTTTATTCTATAATTATGATATCGGAAAACCATGAGGAAAACTAGGATTGATATAATCTTAGAAACATATTATTTAAACTCTTTGGTCAACTTAATACATGTCTGTTTTGTTTTTTTCTTAATGTAAATAAACCGGATTTTCATCGAATTAGCATCGACACCGGTAATCGACTTTTCACTTCACTCGCGTGTTTGTAATGCTTTCGACTCAGACACATGCGTTTACAGAAAAATAATAACTTACCTGACGTAGATTGGTCGACTATAAAAATCGCGTGGCTGTTTGTCATGACAATGCGCTTGCGCGTGTGTATAGTAGATGCGTGTGTGCGTTTTTTTTGCATAATGCAGGTGTGCAATGTCAAGTCCACGGCGACTTGAGTTTGTTCGCTTCTTCGTGTTAACGTTACTCGTATGACTTATTCATTATCTAGAGTGCTACGTGAGTTTCGTAATGATTTTTTCCTGCTGTTCCTGTAGTTCCTGCTGATTTGAAAAAAAATGTTTCATTTGGGCATAAACTTATAATAAAGTTTGAATTTGATGAAATCAATGATTCTTACTCATACATTATACAATTTTCAAAACTTTTGATAGTATAAAATATCTTTATAAATTTATTTTAATCTACGGAGTAGTCGAATAATAAACATATCACTAAAAGCAATGATAAAAAAATAACGACAGCAATACAAGGTGTTAAAGATTTTTATTTGAAGATTAAAGCGATTGGAATAGATCAGAGCGATTACTTCAAGTTTCTACTTCGTAATATTTACATTTAAAAAAATTTAACCACTGAAATACGAGAAGTATAATATATAAGGATAGATGTTAACACTCGATGATATGGCTGTTTACTAGAATGCTGACCGATTTATCAGATACCAAATAAGTTTATTTTATCTAATACTTTTAATAAACGTTCTAGTTATTAGGATTAGGAAAATCCACGTGACTTGCGTTTTCTCCAGCCCACACAAATTTATACAAAAAACAAAACTGGTTCCACTACGACAAAAAGTTTAATCGATTGAAAATGTAGAGGATCGCAGTGCTCTATTTTTTTATTGCTACTGTTTATTTCATTTGTAATACTCGCCGACACGGTTTTAAAATTTACTAGATTATATATAATTAAAATGTATTTATTTTGCAAACCTACAAAATCAAATTCTCATGGCTTTTTGAAGAGATGAGTTTGTGAAAGCTACAAGTAGCATATTTTAAATAACAACTTTTCAATCTTGTTATCCTATAATTTGGCGGGTACATAGTAAATTAAACAAGTGGAAATTAATTACCAATTAAAATGTTACAATGTTGCTTCAATCGCAGACTACGCTAAATGTATTTCGAGAGATATGTATAATGCAGAGAGCGGAAGCTGTTGAACTTTCTCTCGTAAATCGCAATTAAAAAGTGCAAAACGGCAAATTGTCTTCGTGCGCGTTCGAAACGCATACATTAACGTGTCGGATAATTCGCGCTTTGCCTTTAGCTTCAATTAAACGGAAAAGTAACAAATTGTTACGTTCGCGTGCGAGAGAGATTCGAAAATCCGATTGGCACTTGCGAGCCACGCGTTGTTGGAGATTAGCATCTATATCTTAGACCGACGCTAGCACACATCCGTTCACTTTTCGCGTACATCACCATTCACTTTTTTGCTTTCCCCTTGTAGCGTCATGCGTTGTGTTCTATGTGTGTTACGTTTCTTTTGTTTATTTCTCCTTCAAATGATTACCACATTTGCCAGATGACGACGTTGTGCGCGCGTATGTATGTGTGTATGGTTTGGCGTCTTTTGCCTTCGTCGCACGAATATGTAAGTGATGACGGTTTTGTGCGTTGATTATCTTGTTGAATGATTGACCGCTACGAGCTCATGGGTTGCCAGAGATTCGTATCCTAGAAGCATGCATGTTTAACAAAATCGAAATATCCCCTTTTTGTTACGTCCTAATTTGTTTGTACAATTCGTTTACTTAACATTTCAAAAATATAACGGTTAATTGTTGTTGATTAATTGGTTCAAGGTAATTCGCACATAAAAATGATAAATTTAATTTCTTGAAATTTCTTGATTGTATTGATTTGGACAAATATAAATAGCTACAGAATACAATAAAAATAAATTATTATAAATTCTAATTTATTTACATCGTTTATATTAAAAGTGAGAAAGTAATACTTGAATGAACATTTCCATAAATTTTAATTTTTCTGATTATGATACTGCCGAGAATGACAAATTATTAGTAAAAAATATAGAGTAAAATATTCTTGTCGGCATATAAATTAAGAAATATTTATTCTGGAAATTTCAATGGAACAAAAGAAACATTTTGAAACACACTGTATGTAATTAAAATGAATTTCTAATAATTGAATTCCCTTCTCAATCGCGGTGTAAGTATAGAACGAAATTTCACCTTATCAACAAATCTCTCTTTGACTCTCTGCATTGTTTTTGCATACGAGGGTCTCTCGTATGTCAGCTTGGCTATTGCGTTTGTTTGCATATACAACGCACATTCGCTCATCCCGGCTTGAAAACTGCAACGCTCTACTTACTAGTTAAGAGATGACGTTACGCAGGCGCCTTTGGCGTTAAAACAGCACGCACGTCTCCTTTGTTGCCGAGTTCGCAAAGTAAAATTATACTCGTCTATATGTATATATGTACCTGATGTGTAATTGTACGATCAAACATTCAGATGTATTATTTACGTGAGAATAGAGATAGATTTTTTCTCTTATTACTGTACTTTGAGTCATCGAAACGAACGTTGGCGTATACTATCTTATCGTTTTGTAAGTAATTTCCGGTTTTAGTGTAGAAAAAAACACAGGAATGGTACAGTTATGTATGTTGCGACAGATGATATAATTTTCAGCTGTGGTACGTACGAAAAACGTCCATTGTCGTTGACACACAATGCAACTTATGCAAATTGTAAAGACAACACGAAGCTTTTTTCTCTTATTCATCTCAAAATAGCCTCACAGCAGTTACGTCGCGGCCCAGGCTTGCCGCTTCGGTTATTTACCGTGCAATTTTATCTGTACACGAAACTTCAGGGTGTTGAAGTACTTACACGTGCATAATTTTTTTTGTTACCTTCTAACATATATAAGCGGCAGTATTGAATTATATAAATAGTTTTTTGTAAGAAAATATTTTTTTTATTTGTTTCAGGAAAATTTCTTGTGTCAAATGCAAAAATGAAGAAATATTAAATGCAGACATCTCAACAAGTTGATCCCGTAACGAAGTGAGAACTAAAATTTGCGAAATGGTAATGTAGAAAATATGAAATTTCCTTCCTGGCTCATTAGATTTATCACTTAAGCGCTATTTTATTATGTGAATATTAATACACTACGATTCTAATCTACTTTATGGAGCTGGAAAAAAAAATTATTCACATTAAACTAACTATTTAATAATAGTCGTACCGTACTGTAGGTCTGTGATCACATGAAATATCTAAATTATTTCTTTAGAAAGTAACTCAACTGTCGATATTTGATTTATCAAAAAACGAGCGTACTACCACATAATTCTGAGCTCGCGCGAATCAGTTTACTAAGCGACACTCTTCTTATTGTCCCTTTCTCTTCATTTGTCTCTCGCGTAAATTCCGCGTGTGTTTTTTGACCTCGTAGAAATCTCATCAGCTTCCATACATAAACAGGCATTTACAATGGTCATTTGCCCGCGCGCACATGCGCACGATTCATGTCTTTTCTTCTTTTATTCTCTCTTGCTGTTCGCTCTTTTATGTTCCGCTTGTTGAACTTGTACTTGATTTCGGTGCAGATGTTTATTCGCCGCCGTACAATTTTTCGTGAGTAAGTTTTTAGCGCGACTCTCATTTCATCCTCGCTCTTTTTTAACGCTTTGTTAATCTCATCGATTTTATGTTAACGTTATCGTTTAACTTTTAGAAAAAGCGTTACTCTATTATTTTATTTTATATTAATTGATTTTTGCTACTCAACGTTCTTATCACATTTTTATTTGTGTGATTAATGTTGGTATTGGTGGAGCGATTAAACAAAGTAATCAGAATAGGTGTAAAGAAGTTAAAATTGAATTTC